TACCACCGCCATCACAACCGCCACGCAACTTTGCACTTTCAATCGTTGTCCTCAGAATGAATGGGAGATGGAGGGGAGAGTGGAGAGAGAAATGAGAAGGACCAAAGTGCATCGAGTCACCGTTGATGCTGACGATGGCGAAACATTCCTGACGCTATTGATGTCAAAATTCGATTTTTCTGTATACGTACGCTTTTGCCATATGTGGACACTTTCGGCTCAAATTCGCAATGGCGGCCGATCTCGTTTTTTGTGCTCATTCTGCTATCGCAAACCTTTCGGCGCCCTCACTGACAGCTTTGCTATCTTCAAAGTATGATGCCAGGTTGGGATTCCCTCGCCGCGTCATGCGGAAGGATGTTGAGTAGGAGGAGGTGGAGGAGGAGGCGGCGAAGGCGAAAGAGCACTTGGAACAGCTGTGTCGTCCTGATTGTGTCCGACGTGTGGGTACAGCGTTTGCTTGGAACTGTTCGAGTTTGAGAAATGCGTACGATATACTGGAATGATTTATTGATTGACCAATAAAAACGTGGATAGGACTGAATAAACAGAGAATTTGTACTGTAGTGAGAACAGCGAAGAACTAGAGCAAAGAACTAAAAAGCAGTCATACCAGTCAGAATTGTGTGGGCTTTGTGCAAATTGTACTTACAAGCAGAACAACTGAAACGGGAACATGCAAAGAAACGTTCGCGTATGAGCAGAAATTACCAATTACGAAATTCTGCAATGACTATTTTGTCGAGAGAATCGAAGAAAACGTTACTAGTAGTGCGCATCACACAAGTCATTTTTACAGATCAGTGCTATGAATCGTACTATCAAGATTTCATAAATCATTCGAATAAGGAAAAATAGTGGAAAGTAACGAAAATGAAAAGAATGAATGAGAGATAATGAAAAGTGCTTGGCACAGCTTACGCCTTGGGGTAAGCTATGCATTCGAATTGGGTGGAAAATCATTGGTTTGATTAGCAGGTTTAGCTCTTCAGGTCCAACGATTTTCAAAGTAACAGTCTCGCAGTTCAATACATACATAAGGTGGTGCTATATTTTAGGATGACCATCTGCACAGCGATCGATTTACAATGGTTGTAAGTTGTCCTTGTCTGCTAATGCAATCACTGCTTGCTCCTTTATTTATGCTCACCTTTAGCTGCTTTCCTCCAACCAAAGACCCCCTTTTGCCTTTTTTTCATTTTTTGAAAAGACATCAGAATACGTAGCATAGGACCGATTAAAGTCTATCCAAAAATCTGCATCTCGTAGCTGCGATCACGAGCAATCCTCCCCAACCCATCGAAACCTTCGTCAAATATTAGGCTTACTTCCCAACAGCAGGGTAGGCCGGGATAGCGGAGTGGTTCTGAGTGTAGGCTCGTTTCAGCACCTCTGACTGCTTTGGATCCAGTACTTCCCGCAAGTCAAGGAATGATGCTGCAAGCGAGTCTCAGGTTGACAGCCTGAACACTGGATGATCCATTCAGATCACAATGAACTTGTCAGTATCATTTTCTTGTTCTTTGGCGTTTGTCCCGGTTCGGGGCAGGGTTCGCTTTGGTATATTGGCGCCACTTTTCCCGATTGAAGGCCTGATAGGGATGGATACCAGCTATCTTCAAGACCACATGCAGTGTATCAGGCCAGCGCTGCTTTGGGCGTGCCTTAGGTCACTTTCCCGTCACGTCTATGTTAAGGCTCCTCTTACGCCTACTGTCATCATTCCCGCGAAAACATGCTAGTATGTTACTGTAATTTTTTTACTCGTCATGCTGAGCCCACACCCGAAAGCTGAGCGCAGAACCCTCGCTTTTCTAAACCACTGAGAATACGGGAAAATTTCATAATCTAACTGGTGATCAGTGATTTTCCGATCGAGCGAACCACACGAGAAAATTTGCTTCTGGTGTAGTATAGAGTAACCCATGCCAGGGTGAATGATCACAAACCTTTTACCTTTCCCTTCCTACATGAAGTGAATTTTGAGAACAATATCCAAGCCCAAAAATGCATACTGCTGGTCCCGATATATTTCGTGAGAGAACATATTGAGGGGTCCATTAAGCGTATGCTTCATCTTGGTTAGTATATGCATGGATTTGTTGAATTACGCTGATGATAGAAGGTAACATCGAAGTAGTAACAACGGCCATCCGCCCGCTCGCGCTATTCGAACAAGAGGGTTCCACGTGTGATTATGTTAAGGGGTAGGAGGTTGCATTTTGAGTAAGGTTAGTCATATTTCGGGAAAGTGTGAATGAGGGGTTGTATGTGTAAGAATTGAATGGGTGTTGGAGTGGGAATGGTAGGTCGTTTTCGACTTGTCTTTCGGCAATTTTGACGAAAACTTTATAAAAGAACTGTGATATGGATAAAAATTGGGCTAGTGGTCGGGGTAGGGGGTAGGGGTCACGAGCCTGCTCAGGCTGATGGTGGTAGTAGAGGCCGCAAAATTTTTGGAAAAGTGCGAGCGCGACGTTACCCTTATGGTAATCCTTCACCCATTCAAAGGTTTCATGAAAAGAAAGGCCAAGGGCTCAGCGGAGATGTTCAAAATCGCAACACATATTCCGCAAATGTTTGTTTTTCTATCCTCGGGACCTCTATACAAGATATTAAATATGAAGACACGTCAAATCGGCTCATTTCGGCTACGAAGCACGAAGTATTGTGCTAGCGCGTGTACACGTAAAAATCAAGCTGTCTTCTTTTTTTTGCTTAATGTCAAACTTGACTTAAAAATGATAGCCTCACTGCTATGCTTACATTCATGCCTTGGCTCCATGTGAAGCAGCGACTCTTGCGAAACAGTGAAGACATTGTGTGCCGGGATCAGAAGCTGAAGTTGTCAGGACACCGAGCGTCATCCCATCCTGATCAGAAGTCCTCAGTAACTTTTACATGTTTACGGAGCAAAACTCGCACTCCTTGACGCTGTCTCCACCGGGTTAGAAGACAGTGCTTCAGCTTCTCGACCGCTATTCGTCCCGGGCACGCCAGAAACGCAGGTCGCACATCTTCCAGGTCGCTCTGCTTCGGGCTCTTCTGCGCCACAACTGGCCGTACATCTTCACGAGAGGGTCTGCCCATCTGGTGGGGGGTCTGCCTCTGGGCCTTGTTTTTCCCCTTGGGTACCAGTCAGTCACTCTCTTCGTCCAGCGATCATCGGTAAGTCTAGCCATGACCGGCCCACCTCCGCTTGAAATTATAGATGGCATCGACGACGTCCTTCACAAGCGCGGATGGTGTCATTGGGTATGCGGTCTCGGAGCGTTACCCCGCACACGGCCCTCTCCATGGCTCTCTGAGTGACTGCGAGTTTCTCCTCTTCAGAGACTGTGGTGCTCTACGTCTCCGCCCCGCAGGTCATGACAGTGCTATTAGAAAAAATAGGATCGTTTCATAAGGGCGAAACTCTCGATGTTGATCGCACAGTTATGAGATACTCGTGCATTAGCCTCCCTTCCATGGTCGTGGTGGTGTTTGAAACCGTATTCGATCATACATTGAAGCACAGATTGAATAGAAGTCATTGTTTCTACCTTTCTCTTAGAATCTTTATCAGCATCGAACCACCGAACCTGGCACGCTGATGGCCCGATGGAGTTCTACCTTGGATCTCATACCAAGATCATTCATATTACAGGGCTGCGTATCATTCCCCCCATTGCCCCTGATGAAACTCTTCCGAAAGTTGTTTGCAAGCACCAAAATAACTTTAGAGAGTTTATGGTTGTTCATGAAATCCTGATGGGTTGCTTAATGTTTCAGACATTTTTAGAGGTTAAGATGGTTTGATAATAGAATTTGACCATTGACGGGTTCCGTGGCTCATTTCCCAGAAATCGGTGAACTCTATTACCTTTCAGAATTATCCATTGTTTGGATGCAAGCTTGACGGGGTTGGTCAGGGCAGCTCTACAAACTTACAAGTGAGATATGGTTCCGTCCTCAAACCAGAGAACATGCATCATGAGTTTATGAGTCAGTGAAAGGGTGATTAAACAGGTCGAACTCGAAATGGGCTTGCTTACGCTGAAACTATCTAACTAGCGCTTGCCCTCATATAAACCAGCAGCAACACTAAATAAGAGTCGTGTGGCGGGTTTAGTGGCCGATGGCTCTGCCTACCACACGTATGGTCCTCGTATCAAATCCTGGATTCATCCCCGCGCTGGGTATCCGACTTTCTATTCGTATGGACTTGATTGATTGATACCAATGGATCTGGCATTGACTTAAACTACCCTCCCTTTCAAAAAACGAGAAGAGCGTTGGGTGCAGACACCCCAAGCAACGACGGCCTCTCCACAATGTAAATGTTTTCTGCCAATGAAATGATTATCATTTGTCACAAATGACAACTGTAATTTACCAAATATCAGCTATCAGTATGAACCACTAGTAACCAAATTTATTTGGAGACCGTCGTCACTTGGGGTGTATGGTCTGCAGCCAACGCTCTTCTCTTTTTTGAAAGGGGGGTATTTGTGCACTGAGTGGGTTCGCAAGTCTTACATGTGGGCGCCAATTGCGCATTTGAGCCGCCCTGAATGGAAGACACATGCATGGCGAATCCCAAGTTCAAATATTTTGATGCGAGAGTTATAGGATTTCAATCCCAATAGTGAACATTATCGACCGATCGATCTCCTATTTCAACAATTCATCGATCGAATGTGATGAAATCAGGTGTTGCAGGTGTACATTGTTCATATATGAATACATATGTGTTGTAAAAAGTCCTGAAACATCAAAGAATACACGATTTAGCAAGTGCTTCTCAATTTGAATATGATCGCTCTTTGCGAATAGCGACTGCAATACGTTACACTGGCGTTTGCAAATGAAGCGATTAGCATTGCAAGGGATCAGCGCATAATTCAAAGGTTCTTGAACTTTATTCAAAATTTCATAAAACCTCTGTTTAAATGGACAAATAGCAATGGAATTCATAGCGCTGAAAAATCGGCTCCAGATGTGCTGTTGTCGCCTGTCTTTTACGTCTTTTTTACGAATTCCCTTCTCCAGATCGCCTTTTTGCCATTATTGCATGCTTCACATTCCTGAAACGATCAGCGACGTTATAAAAATGATTGCCGCCGTCGGACTTTCAACAATCTCACGTCTGTCGTGGAACCCCCCACGGTCGGTCAGCCACCATCACCTCTACAACCGTATCGAAGCAAACGTGAAATAGAGTGCGCCAGGCGGCATGCTACGCAATCTGTTGCCGCCAGGACACTATGAAAAACCATGTGCAAGTGCATTTGCATCATTTTTGACAACATAGCGAAGGGGGGGGGGGAGAGGAAGAGCACTACTCTAGTAAATGCGCCTACTACTACATGCAAAGTAGTCTAGCATGGACAGCGTCGATGCTCTACGACATCGCTAACGACAACTCCACAGACGGAGCAAACAGCGACGGATTGAGTGAGAATTCGGTGACCAAAAAACAGCGCCAATACGAAAACAATGAACGCAGACAGGCATTACTATTTTGAAGGGCTGGAATAGAGGATAATATTGGCGAACAGCATTGGAATAGGCAAGGGATGCAGTTGTATTGTATCCATAGAATTCACTATGCGGCTTTGAGAACCTAAACATTAAACGAAAGAAATAAATGATGAAGTAGGAAGCACTGAAGCGACCAAAGTGGGGAACTGATGACATGTTTCCACACTCTCTATTTATGATTTAGCTCTTGAAAATAGCGAATTTTTGCCGACTTTGAAAATTGGCAATTTGTTAATATCAAACAGTATAATCACAATGTGCGTGCTAAACAGCACAATAAGCATTACCCAATAATTTGGTAATAATAGGTATACTTGATTCAAACATCAGGTTTATGCGAGGCAATAGCCAAGATGGGCTGGCGTACCTTTGGGCGAGCCCGCATAAGTCTAGAAAGGTAGTGTAAGCTTTGCAAGTGAAAAAAAGTGGTGCACTCGTGCGTTCAGCTAACAGGTTTTTTAGTGACTGCAATTCTTTGGCGGATGTACAGGGGGGGGGGGCAAAAAAGGAATATTTTTGCTCCGTCGACTTCTGGCTTTTTCTTTTCAGCAAGCTTGCCGTCGTTTGTACGATGTTCCTTAGCAAATATTATTTTAAATGTTCCCTCTATAAAGTAGTGAGAAATACCTTTCACTGCTCCCTCGACCGTCTTAAGATATGACGTCATCTGTCACGTCGTTGATCAGAGGCCTCCAGTAACTGTCCTCAGCCTATAAGCTTTACAAATTTCTAGTATCGATTTTCACGTGAGTATAGGTTATTCTATAGGAATTAGCTTTACTATGCAATCCCTCTCAAGAACCCGCCCCTCGAACCGCCGTAACGGTACCGTATCCTTCGAGAACGCTATTGAGCTCAACAGGGGCACATTTTCGGGCAACCTTGTCTGCTGCAGTCTCACGTGGTGGCCACTTATGATATTTTCTATGAATGAAATGTGGTCTTCAGAACTGAATTGAGACATTCGGTCTGAATTGAGAAGACATCGAATTGATTCATTGAATGTGGAGACAAAAGTGTCTTTTTTTTTTATTGCCCTCTGTATATTATTGGAGGATTGGAGCGTCCACGCATGCGTATCGTCTATTGAGCACGATAAGAGGGATTGTTCAAATGGTAATGCACTACCTTGACTAGAGGGATCGATAGCATCAGTTTTGGCTATCTGAAATGAAGGCACATCAACGAAGATCGTGGGTACCCGACAGAAGGCACGTCGCGTGGTAGAAGGCTGTGTCGCGGACGAGTTGCAAGCGCGTGACGAATCCGAAGTAGACGTACATGGTGCATTTCTTATTCCACTTACATGCGAAATTGAGCTAAACCCCGCGCTTGGACCGTTCCGTGATTCTGCTTCCTTGCTGCGCGACGACTTCCAGTTCAGATGGCACGAAGACGTTTGAGCTCGGAGCTGTTTCTCCATCCTTTAGTGAAGCTGTTTGCGGGGTAACAGATGTTTTCTTTCTCACATAGCGCTTTTTGCATACTATCTCAGACCCTCGACGATTCTTTCCGCGCGGTAAATTTCTCAATATGAAATAGTAGGCATGCTTGATGCAGTTTGATGTCAAGACGTTTCTAGGTCGATTCGTTCGGAAGAGCAAAGGAGCAATCTCAGCAAGGAATCGATCCAGCGATTTTCTGCCTGTCAGTTTGGACCACTACCACCGCGCATTTCTTCTTGATAACTCCGTTCAGGGAATTTTTTTGGCAGATGTGGAAAACTTTGTGAGCTTAACGTCTCAAGGCGAACGCACTGGTGCATACCTCATTTCAAGTACCGAATCGAATTGTTGTTCTTAGCCGCTAAAAATGTTAGTCTACCAGTAAGGGAGAAGGGCATCGTTGTGCAACAGTTCGTTAATCTACAGTAATCCCCTTTTTCGCAAGGGAGGAATCCCTTGAAAGCATGAACCATTTCTCATCCGTTATCGATGGTGTCAGAGTCCGGACCCGTCGCGCGACGGACCATAGAAATCAGAAGTGCCCTGACCAATACTACGAGGTGCTCTCCATTCCCGCTGGATGGTGTGGTTACATGACTTCTGTTCATGTGTGTGTTCCACTTGTTTTAGATTCAATATTTCAGATGTTCAAGCTTTTCAGGTTCAGATTTTTGCGATTCGCGCTAATCGCGCGACAGATCTCGAACTCTGACACCAGCCTACAGCATGCACGCCGAAGCTTCATTCTCGCATAAAAATAGGGACCTTCTTAAGATTTACGTACTATTGCACACCAATGCTCCCCTCTCATCCTTACTGGAACAGGTCTGAATATTTAAGCGTCACCGTATCGCTTTTGATTTGCAATGAATGCTGATTAATGTATTCAAACAGTCCACAAGGCATGATACTTGTCCTTTGGCAATAGAACGTGCCCCGCCCCTGGAGATTCTGAACTTTGTTTGACTTTCGGATTGTTCGAGACCGTGTGAGTCATACAGAGCGCGTATGATCGCTCGATGTGCGAAAGCATGCAGAATGAACGTAATCAATCAGACTGACAAAAAACATAAGCATTGCCGTGCTTACGTGGTTCCTTCCGTAGTAGACCACATGATGCAATCAATTTCACACCATACCTTCACACCAATAGTAAACTCATTATCAGCACAAGAACACACACTCTTGCTTGCATCTATGAAAACGTGGCTCCCATTCAAAACGCAGTGAAAATAGGAACTGGTGCAATACCAGTGCCAATTTGGTGCTATCTTAGTTGGAGGGGGCCACGCGGCGGCGCGGCGCTCTGTTCGTCTGCTCCTCCAAAGGCTTAGTCCCCGGGGCAGTTACTATTTCGCCATCACGTGGCAGTTTCAAATACGCGCCATCGAGGACTAAGCCTTGAAGGTGCAGACGAAGACCCCTCCAACCAATATAGCACCGCCGATTTTTTGAATACGATAGGTGCGAAATGTATGTACATGGTGACTGCTACTCGGTACTATGGTGTCACGAGAATCGAGGAAATCCCCGAGCAAGGGGGAATGCGGCTAATTCATGGGGGTGGGG